CAAAAGAGAATTCTCTCAGCAATTATGGTGTGTGGTGCATGGTATTAATTGGATGAGTTGCTCCCAGTGCAGGTGCTTGTCAGGTAACCCAGTGAGGAGGGATTCAGCCAGGTCTGTGGTCTCAGCTGCATCCACCATTCCCATCCTCAAAGGGAACAGGAATCCCACAGGCAACCCCAGCCTTGGTGTTTGACCTCTGTGCCTTTCTAAGGACACTTTAGGGTTCTGGAAACTGTACCCAGTTCCTCAGATACTTTTATTCAGTAATTTAAACCACCACAGTTATTTGTGTGCTGCAGAGAATAATTAGTTTATTTAGCAGTATCTGCTTTAGCTTCACTGTGGCCAGTTGGAATTTTAACCTCTGCTAACACCTGTAGACACATCCACAAGGGAAGTTCAGCACCAGGAGTGGAGGACTAGATGAAGATAATGGAACATCTGATTGTGCTGCTTCTAAATTACAGAATGATCAGGGATGTGTGATTTTCCAGGGCGGGTTAGCTGCTCTATGCTTGCCTAAACCCCATCAAATACACTCCTGAAATGTAATATTTTCTTCCATCCATGAATTTTTGCAGTTTTAAAATTGACCAGGGTTGGTCAGAGGATGACCCCTCTCGTGAGATCTGTTGGTTAGGGCAGTTTTTCAGGGATTGGGAAGTGCAGAACAGTAATGGCTCTGCTGCTCCCCTCCCTGCCCTCTCCTGTCTGAGTGGCTCTGGCATCGTGCAGCACCTGCTTTGGTGACTCTTTTGTGGCATCTATTTTTTGAAAACAAACCAGGCATTTTGCTTCGAAAAAAATAAAGTGTAACTCTCCAGGGCTGGCCTTTTTGAAGAATGGCTTCAGACAGAAATGGCCTTTGTAAATGATAGGTTTAAAATTACCCTGCCATTATACAACAGCTTGGCCCTTCTCCAGAAAACTGAAGACGTTTGGAACCTTTTCCACTGAAACGATAATTGCCCAATGAAAACAGGATTTGGGGAAACATAAACTGACATCAAGCTACTCCTTTTTGCTATAAATTATATTGACTCTGCACTATTGCAAAATTACTTGTGATGATTTGACCATGGAAGAATGTAGTGAAAGACTACTTATTACCACACTCCCCTGTGCAGGGAAATTGCAGTACATCCACTCAAATCCGAGCTTAGATGAGACTTTCCACTGGCTTCAAACAGCTCTGCCTTTCGTCCTCAGAGCTGCACAGGCCACTATTAAAATATCTTTAAGGTTCCTAACAACCAGGTGTTTCCTTTGTGTGGCAGGATGGAAGTCACTTTTTTTCTTCTTCAACCAAATTTTCAGTATGTGGTTTGTTTACTCCGAGCTGCCTTGAAGGCAGTGATGGACAGGAACAAAAAGCTCCCAGATCTGACTCTGAAAAAGAAATAGATATTTGTGCAAAGTGTCATTTTCCCCATGAAACTCCCTGTTGCAGAATACAGTGGAGTTTACTGGTATACTGGAAATCATTTAGGAAATTTTTAAGATCTAGATCAGCAAATAGATGTGTGTGTGTAAATAGATAAACAGATGTGGAGAGGTTTGGGAGAACATGCTTAATGCTAAGTGGATACTGTCTTGGAGCACTGGAAGTACCCAAGTGAATCTAAAAAAACAACTTTCCCATGGACTGGGAGCGACTCCTTTGTTTGGCTCAGTTTGCCCACCTACTTTATACTACAGGGTGGAAAGGCTTGTATTTTCCTCTGTGTAAGAGAGTAAAAGATGGACGTTACTCAGGGAGCCTGTTGGGCTGGTAAAAGTGAACTGTCAGGGGACTGACAGCGTGTGAATGGAGTTACCTTGGAGATGCAACACAAGACCAACAACCAGACATTGAGGTTTTAATGAATGCCTGCCAAGCCAGGCAGAACGTGTGAAAACAGCGGGGCTGGTCCTTGAAACAAAGGACCGAGGTGCTGGGATGCTGAAGGAACTCAAAGAGGAGGAGGAGGAGGAGGAGGAGTGGTGTAGGGGCCACACCTGAAGTCCCTCTGGGGCTCTGAGCCCAGAGGAGCTGTTTGGAAACATTTATTTCTGTGTGCAGTCACTCAGGGAACCATTGGCAGGCCCGTGAAAAGGGGCAGCCTTTGAGTGTTGGGTTGTGCCTGATGAGGGTATCAATAGCCTGCTGTGAGCATTCACAGAGAACAAAACCAGTTAATTGACAAGAGTGAGGGCTTTTGATTATGCATAAACAGCCCAACTTACAGATAACAGCAAGAGCTGATTTCCAGCCCTCTTCTGAAATGAATTCTCTGTCCAGCCCCTGTCTTACAGTGTAAACTCCCAAATGCATCCTAGACTGACTGCACAGCACCTCTTCTTACACAGTGACCTTGTGGTAGGCTAATATCTGTTTATAAAAAGAAAAATACTTGAAATGTGGGGTTTCTTGTCTTTTTATTTTTATATAATTGCTTCCTATCAGCTCTACCTTGAGGGTGATTTTTTTCCCCCATAGTTACAGAGCTGTCTTCAGGAAAGCTCATGTTCTGTGACTTTGGGCAATGTGTTCTCTGCTCTGATCTGTAGTGTTTGTTAGGGCCTTGGAGCCAAGGTTGTGACTGACTCCTGTCAAGGGAAAAGACTCATATTTGAGGCAGCTGGGGTTTGTTTCTTCCATCAGGTATGGAAAGGGGGGGAGTGGGAGTCCCTGGCTCCCTTCCCCTGTATCAGATCCCACTCTGTGCCAGGTCAGATGACCTTAGAGCTGGAGCTCTTGTCTCGAGTCCCTGTGTTACCATCCAGCCATCCCTTGCTGAGTGCTGAAGCCACACATCGTTTGCTCGTGGGCTTGGGTGGACATGAGGACTCCCATTACAGAAAGGTCTGGCAGGTCAATCTAGCTTGCTGATGAGTGACATCAAAGAGGTGCCATCAACACCAAAGTGATTTCCATGGAAGCTCAGAGAAAGGCTTGAAAAACAGTTTGCCTCATGGGAGGATAATTGCCAGTGTTTGCATTTAACAGCCCGGAATGCCTAAAGTTATTGGTGCTTGCTTGTCTGTGCCTATGGGAGGAAGAGTGTTTGCTGTATCCATGTGTTTTCCTGGGTGGATGAGAGCATTCCTGCCAGCAGGGAGTTCAGCCTCGTGGGAGTAAGGCCGAAGGGTGTCTGCCTGTCTGGCCATCAGCATGCTGGAGCCTTACTCAGACACCGGGACCTGACAGATACACTCTGCTGCACGAACCCAGCACTGTTAATGGTGTTGCCAAATTTAACTTCCAGCCATCTCTCCCAAAGCTGTTTCTCATTAGCTGTCCCAGCTGTGTCACTGCTGCTGACGGGAACTGGCCTCCACAACCTGCTCTGTAAACACACTTTCCAGAGCTCAGCTTGGACAATGGCTGGGGCTCTGCTGCTGCGAGTCCCCCCCCGGGGCTGGATCTGGGTCTGTCCCTAGGAAAGGATTACAAAACAGAAGGCTCATATCATCCCTGTTTGTTTATGGTGGTTTCAGGAAATGTGGGAGCAGCGTTGCAGAGAGGATCTTTCCATTGAAGCCTGGGGATTCTCTTGTAGAGAACCTGTCTGCTCTGCGCTGCAGTAGCACTGATCTTAGTCCAGAAACAATTCGGGTGTTTTTGGCTGCACTTTGGAGGAATTCATTCAGTCTAATGGCATTTCAGAGAGGAAAAACAAAAATATCTAGGAGCCTCAGGTTTGAGAATTTGGCTTTTGCAGGCTGGGTGGAATTCTGAATGGAAAAATAGTGTGGATTTCTGCTATGCAGAGCCAGTTGTCCAGACCTATTGCGCTACCTCGTGTCAGTTAAATACTACATAAAAACTACAGGATGTCTGCCACTAAATGCTCATATTCAGTTGCTTTTCATAGGTTCAGGATTGCCTGTAACCCAAGACAGAAATAAACATGTATGCTGCATTGCTTTGAATTAATTTCCATTAGCAGTGTTAGCTACCTGTATTGCAAGGGCTTTAGATAATTTTAATAATGTGATAAAAAAGCTGTGCTCTCAGAAGGTTGTAAGGCAAAGTGAAGGCTTAGGGTAAGTACAGGAGATGAGCAGGCAGCTGAATGGGTGGTGTAGAGCACAGCTGAAGGAGCCTGTAGGGTTTTGTTTTAAGTGCCTGTTGAGCCCATAATTGTAAAAGGAGGGGAAATCTTGAAGCAGAAGAAATTCAAGATGAATAAATAAACTTGAGTGCTCTTCTGTCTCCTGGCTCCCATCTGTAATTCACCCAAGCCTGTGCTGGAGAGGTGTGGCACACATCTAAGTGGAACTTGCTGACATTCATCAGCTAACCAGGATGTGGCAGGTCCCTGGCTCCAGCATCCCAGGGCACTGGACTCTTCCCAAGGATGTTAACCCTGCTGTGGGCAGGCCAGCAGGGACAGCACTGCCTGCTGTTGCCTGCTGGGCTCTGGTCAGCACAGCTGCCTGGGGAAGACAGGGAGCTCAGGCTGTGAATCTCCCCACCACATCATCATCAAATCCCATTTCTCTTGGCGCTGGCCTGTTGGACGCTTTGCCTTTTTGTTTGGCTGGTGGAAATCCTGAGAGTGAGCGGGACATCAGGCTCTTTATGTTGTTGTTGTCACTCAGGAAAGATTTGCTTACTAGTGATTGCTTATTTACTTATTTTAATTAAATTCAAATGGTGGTTTTAGATGCTGAGGCTGCCTGAGCCTGTGTTTTGGGAAAGCCCATTGATGCAAATAATCTGTGTTTATGAAAAGCTGAAAAGTGTGACAAGTACAGTAAATTTTGCAAGGAGCCTGGCTGGGAGGAGATGCTCTTGTCCCTGCTGCCAGGTTGTCTGCACTGCTGGGGTCAGAGTGGTGAATCACAGCAGTGTGCAGGGAGCAGCAGCGTTCTGTTCTCCATATGGAGATGGCCGGTGTGGGTCCCAGGGGGAGGATGAGGGCAGCACTGCTGTTTGCCAGCTCGTGTTTGCATGAAGTGCTGGGGGAAGGACCTGATGCAAAACCCCTGAGCAGAGCTGTGTCCCCTTGCAGAGATGCCCTGGATGCTGCCAGCGTGCTCTATAATCGGGTCGATGAGGGCGTTCACCGGCTGGTGATGCTGTCAAACAAGCGCATCCAGGAACTGGAGCTGGTGATGGAGTTCGAGAAAGTGGAAGAGTGTTTTAAGGAGGTAAGGCCTGCCTGTCCATTCCAGTGAGTGCCTGCTGCTGCCCTGGGGCACTGTGTCCCACAGCAGGAGCTGGGCATGTTGAGCCCTTGTGTGGAGGTGGACAGCGATGCCTGGAGATGCTCCTCCTCTGGAGGGAAGTAGATTTGCAAAGGAGCCCGTAGCCTACCTGTTGTTTTCACAGGCCAAGGTGGATCCAGGAGTTTTAATGACTTCCCATTTGGAGGTAGACACTGGGGCGCCATGCCCTGTGTGCTCAGGATGAGAAGTGTGATGCAAGAACCTGGTAGAGACTCTCCTAGAAGCATACAGGTTCCTGATACCGAGCAGAAATACAAAAAAGGCACAAAAGCAGGCTCTGCAACCTGTGCCTGCTTTAAGTTGAACTTTTTTTTAACTCAGTTGAGCAACACTGACTATTCCCAGCTTACTTTCCTTGCAGATCACTAATGATGGCAGCAGCTGCTCCCACTTTTAAGCCTGCCTGGGAGCTCTGGGCAGCAGCAGTGTGTCCCTCTGTAGTACTGAGAACCCACCCCCCTCTCCTCTTGCCAGTGGGCTTGTTCTGTGGCTACAAGACTAGGAGTTTGTCCTTGACTGTGTGGTTGAGTTGGGGTATGGATTTAGGCGATGCAGGAAAACAGGATGCATGGGCGTTAGGAAACACTTAGTGGGTGTTAGGAAACACTGAGTCTGTCCCTTCCCCCAGGTGCAGCTATGCCTGGAGCATTGCAGACAAGTTTACCAGCCTGTTTTTAAAACCCACTGATGATGGAGAGGCTGTGTTATCCTGCCTGGCCTCCCGGGACTGCTTTGCTTTTAGGAGGGTCTTTGTTAGTCAGTCCTCTAGCCCTATTTGAGGATATAAGGCTGATAAGTGCAACAGTGGCCACGCTCCCATCAAGGAACCTGCAGTTACTGCTCAGCTTTGTGGAGAGCTGCCTTCAGAAAACCAGTATGTGAGAGCCCCAGAGAGCTGTGAAACACTGCAGATGGGGACAGTCCATCAGTACACCCCCAGTGACACAGTTCATGTGCTGCCAGCCAGAGAAAGGAAGTGATGTAGAAATCTGGCAGCAGGGAGATTTGATCCCAGTTGGAGGTAACAATAATAGGAGTGTCAGGCCAGTCTGCAGGTTCAGAGCTCACATTAGACCATGGCTCACCTGAAACAGAGTCCAGGCAGCTGCTTGCCCTGTTTATGCCTAAGGCTAGTGAGCAACAGCAGAGCTTTGCAATTACTCTGTAACCTGAAGTGGAAAAACTCCTAGCAGGAGGCTCAGACTGAAATGCTTGCATGGGGGGAGCAGTCTACACACACATTCTTTCCAGTAATGAGATGACCAGCGTTATGAGAGCAGTTCCTTGCTCTTTCCACATAAAGGCCCACGTTGGTGAGTAGCACAGGGTGACTAATAACGGGGCTTATCCCTTTTCTCCTAGGTCAGCAGTTGGATTGAGAATGTTGGCAGAAAAGGGCTAAAGGGAACTGTCAACCTGGATGATTCTTTGGAGATGCTGCTTCAAGCACAAAAGCAGTTCAAGGAGTTTGATCTTGTTGCCAGTGTAAGTGTTGTCTGATTGGAAAAATATATTCTCCACATCTGAGTTGGTAGCATGAGTGTCTTGTGTGTGCTCAGCCAAACCCACGATGCTGAGAGGGCTCATCACCAAGGTGTGTGTCATTCCTTCACACTGCTCAGCATCCCTGCTCTCCTCGTGGAGGAAAAGCCACCAGCTCAACAGCTTAGTAGATGGCATTTGCCAGTCTTGGGGAAAATAACTAGTGGGATGGAAGATGGATTTTTTTTGTTACTCCCTTGATGTGGTTGTAACACTGCCTTTGTTGATCCTAATTGACCTGTGGCCTTGCTGTGTAGGCCTTTACAAGCTGCTCTGTGACTGCTGTAGCTCACAAGAGATCAGTGCTCCAGAATTCTACTGTAAACAAAGACACCCCTGCTCATTTGAACCTTAAAACCCCATCCAATTAGCCCGAGTTGTTAATGACCTTGAAGACTGCGTGCTGTCCGTGCCGGGTCTCAGTCCTCACGTGCAATCCCATTTTGGTTTCAGGAATACTGCAAAAGGGGACAGGAAGCGTTAAAGAAGATGGATCGATGGGAAGATTTCTCCTCTGTGGATGTGCATTCTTACAGGGTGAAGCTGCAGACCTACAGAGATCAGCTGGAGGAGTTCTGCACTCAGCTGGATGAAACCAGGCACCGAATCTCTGAAACGGTCAGGCTATATGAATTCTTTGACAAGGTAAGACAAGGCATCTGCTGCACAGAGGAGGGTGTAAAAAGCCTGCTTGGACTCAGTCCAGAGCTGGGTTTTGTATGAAAGGTGTGAAATGGAGCGTTTGCTCCAATAGGGAGCTGGATCTGTAACCTGCAAGAGTTCCCTCATGCTCGTGTGTCAGCAGTGATTTTTTTCAAGTCAGTGTGTGGAAGAAGGGGGAGGGTGTGTGTTTCAGAACATGTCCACATCTGTTAAACACAGAGGTTTGCTGCTGTCTGAGCTGGAGCTTTTAGACCCCTTTCATGGCCCCAGTGGACAGAAGGATCATGGCAGTGTTGACAAGGGCCAAAAGATTGGCTGGTCACGTCCTGTCTTGGCCACCATACCAGGATAGACTGCCTGCATCTGTTCATGCTGTATCCTTGCACACTGGAAAATTCAGGATGAGCTCCCTGCTCTTCAGTCCTGAATACAGCCCAGCTCCTCCCCTGTGGAGCCCTGCTTGAGGAGGTGGAATACCCAGGATGGGGTGCTGGGAAGTGTGGCTGAGGGAACAGGGGGACTGGGTCATCCCAGGCGTCTGGGAGGCAGGATGAGAGAACACGTGTGGTGACTGACTGACCTCACCAGGTTGGTTCAATGCAAACGTTCAGCAGACCTGCAGTTGGGTTTGATGTTCTTTAATTTCTAAAGTTGCAAATGAATAAGCAGAAGGATTTTCTAAGTGCGTTTTAAAATACAGCTTTGGCAAGCGCAGAAGGGCAGGGAGCCTGTGCTTCATTTATTCCACACTTGTACAAACATTGGGTATTGAAGTTCTCAAATTCCAGAAAGAATAGACACTAAAAGTTAAGCTGTACCAGATGGAAGTGCCACTTAGTTGCTGTCTCTGAGCTGCCTTGGCAGCCAGAAGTGCTCAGGGGAGGGGGGAGGAAATTCAGCTAAACATGACAACATGGAGAAGCGTCCTGTGTGAGGCAGGAAAGTGGAGAAGGCAGCCTGGAATGTTGGTGTCAGGGCATGTGAGGATTGAGTTTGTGATGCTCTGCAGGTCTGCTCTGGCTCATCCCTGCAGTTTGCTGTGCAGGTGGGGCACTGTCTTGCTGTGGGAATGTAAAATGTAATTTTTTCCCCCTGAATGGAAAGAAAAATGCTTCCTGTGCCATAGGAGAATGGCAAGAACCTGTACTCTGCTGACAGCTCTTGGGCAGCCAGGGTAGTTGGACATGCCTCAAGAGCAATGTGTTCCTCTGCAGCTTCAAAGCCTTTCAGAAAGCCTGGGCCACTCCTAGGGGCACAAATGCTACACAGACCTCAGAAGTGGCCCATTTCTTTCCTGAGAGCACGACAGCTTCTCTTGGGTGGATGAAAGCTGTGGGATGCAGTCCTTGGCAGCAGCAGCACCACTCTTGGTTGTGCCTTTCATGCTGCACTGCCCCAGTGAAAATGGAATGGTAGTGGCATGGTGTGTTTGCACACTGCTTTGGTGTGGAGGAGGGGCAGCTGGCTCAGGGAGGAAGGAGGATTTTGATCTCACTGGTTTCAGTAGAACTACAAACAATGCTGGTGGTATAAATATACCGTGTGTGTATTGTGAACCGCTGGCCAACCGAAACCAGGAGTGTAGGGGGGTACATCCTGCAGGTGTAGGACCAGGGCAGGGATTGCTGTGCACTATGAAGGTTCTTTCAGTATGATTTTGATCTCCAGAATGCTTCCTGCCTTCCCAAAGCAAAGACAGTGGCGTGGTCTGGGAGGTGGGGGGTAAGCAGACTTTATCTAAACTGATTCCACTCTCTTCTGATGCTGAGCTGCTTTGACCTTCCTGCAGTGATCTTGTCAGTGCCTGCCTAGCTCCCTTCTCTCTTCCCCAGTATCTGAGGGGATATCAACAGCAGGAACCTACAATAAGCAATGTCCTCGATTTTCCTTCTTGTAAGGAGCCTGCCGTGTGCCAAGCCCCAGGATTTGGGGAAGGAGCCCGAGGATGCGTAAGCAATGTACACTGCGGTAACGAGCTGGCAGGCTCAGCTCTCCAAACATCTCAGCACGCACCAGGGGAGTGGAGCTCCCACCCCAGGGATCGTGGCATTCATCCCTCACCCACCTCACTGCCTCCTGGGAGCGGCAGGCTCTGCTGTGCCCGCCCTCCTGCGTGTGGTGGGTGAGTGTTTTGTAGGGCAGTGCCTGTGGGTGCCGGACAGGCCGTGGAGCAGGACAGCACAACCCCATCTGGCCTGTCAAGACGCCGTGCTGTGTTTTTTCACCGCTTGGCAGTCCTGCAGGCCTGTCAGAGCTCCCTGCGAGGAGGCAGGCTGAGCTGGGCCAGACCACATGGAGCTTACACATGGGCTGGCAGGGTTCCCTCCCCAGAGCCACGGCTGGTGCCAAGCTGGATGTTTCCATTTGTCCTGGCTTCCTTTGCGGTGGGAGCCCCTGGTGCCTGGCAGGGGCTGGATGATGGCTGGGCTGAGGCAGGAGGAGCAGTGAAGGAAGATGCCTTCCCAACCTCTGGCTGGGGGCTGGAGGATTGTTTCTCAGTACCACAGACTCGATGTGGGCATCCTCAGGGACCTGCCATCGTCCTGTGGCTTCGAGCCTGGTCTGGCTGCTGTCCCTTGTTTACTCAAGTCCAAGACTGCACTGGGATCTGGCACCACACAGTGCTTTGGGGGAGAACTGGGAAGCTGAGCAGGCAGGGGTGTGTATGATGTACCAAAAGCACTGATGTCTGTTTTGTTCTGGGGTGCCTGCAAGGACAGTCCCCAGTACCCTTCTGTCCTGCTGTCTATCCTGGCTTCACAGTAACACTGCCATAGGTGCACCATCAACACCAGGAGCAGCCACAGCACGTTTCCCTCTCCTTCCTATCTCATTAGTCTTCACATTTTTTTCCTTTCTCAAGCTTTCTTTGGGTGAAATTACTTCTCAGATCACTCTTAATATCCCACAGCTCTTGCCTTTGGCATCAGCAAAGTGCAGATTACCTGGACAGCAGGTTTGAAATGACCCGTGTGAGAGCCCTGTTGGGACTGCAGCACCCTACTTGCACTGTCCAGTGAGCCAGAGCACAGGCTCTGCCAGCCCTGGGATGACAGCCAGCCCTGCTGAAGGTTGGGAGCAAAGGTGCGTGATCCTTGCTGGCAGAAGTCACTCTGGAAGGAAGCACTGACCCAACCAGCAAGGGCAGCGTCCCATCACACCGGCTCAGCACCTGCACACCCTGTGGTGATGTGGTGCCCAGAGCTGAACTGCCTCTATCATTACAGGAGGGCCTGGGGCAGCTCCAGGGGCTTTTTCCTGCTTGTCAGGATGTTGTGCAAGATGGTGCTTCGTTGGTGCTCAGGGAACGTGTGGTCATTGCCCTGCCATGGCCTGGGAGCCTCTTGCAGCTTGAGCCCTTGGTGGGTGGTTGCTTTCTGAGTGAAGCTGTTCAGAGTCCCACTGCTCAGGATTGGTGGAGTGAGGCTGGTTCAGAAGTGGTAGGGTGGCCCATGGTGGGATTTCTTTGGGCTCTGTTCCCCAAGCCATTCCTTCAGTGGTGTTCTCTGTCTGCCACCCTTGGATCTCTTCCCCCAAAGGACCCCTGACCATCAGCCTATGCTGATTATTGTTCCTCAATCACCTTTGGCTTTTCTCTGCTGCACACAAGGAGCTCCTGCTTCTGAGCTCTGCTTGGAGTGGGCAGAATATTGCCCGACCTCTCTCCCTTCTGTGTTTTCATCTCTCTGGGAGTGGGTTACCTGTGCTCACGTGTGGTTCTGCTCCCTACAGCGGGTTCTCCTCTGCTCTCCTCCTCCTCTGGCTCTCCTCCTCAGCCACTTTGTTCTTTGTGGCTTAGAAAACAAAGCCCTTGGCAAGTGAAGGAGGTGCCTGCCCTTCCTGGGGGAGGGCCAGCTGGCCTGCATTTGATTATGGCAGTGCCTCCTCATCCCTCCCCATTGTCCTTGCTGCTGTAGGAATGCCAGCCTTTTTTTGCTCCATCCCGTGAACAAGTGTTGCTGCTCTGGGGCCCGGAGAGGGGCTGGGGCCCTTCCTCCCGTCCCTCTGGCCCCGCTGCAGGAGAGCCTCTCTGCACATCTCCATGCACCTTCCCTCCGAGCTGCAGCCACCCCGTCCTGGCTCCAGCAGCAGACGGACACAGCGAGCCCTCTTGTAAGTACCAAGTGTCTGGTGGCCCGGCTGACGTGTGAGCTGGATGGGGATTGTTTGGAGACAGTGTAGAGAAGGCTTTTCACTCGGTTGCCTGTGCGTGTCTCTGTGCATCCAGCATGAATCACATTGCTTTGTGTGCAGCTTCTGTGCGCTCAGACCGAGCCCTGTGAGCTGGGGGGGCATCTTTGCACGGTCCCTCCAAAAGCCAGGGATGTGCTGTCTGTAGTGCAGCAGTGCCTGTCCCTCCTTCCCTTCGTTAGAGGTTACTGCAGATCGTTCTGATGATCATTTCCCTGCAGCTGGAAGTTGCTGTGGGGGCTGCAGGCGAGCGGGATGCTCGGGCAGGGCAGGTGGTACCGCTCAGCCTGCCCGGATCTCTGTCAGACGTTGTGGACAGCACAGGAGGGGCTGCTCTCCCGAACTGCTCCGAGGTTTGCTGGGTTGCTGCCCCTCGAGTGAGTGGGACCTGCTGGCACAGCGTTCCCAGCTGCCAGAGCTGGATCTGATCTTGGCTGTGAGAGCAGAAATCCAGAGCATGATGAATAAGCTGCCTTCCCCAGATTGCTCTCACCTCTCACTTCTCCCCAGAAGTTTCGGAACAGAGATCTGCTGGAACTTTGTTTTCTGCTGTTTCGTTTCTGATGATGTACCAGATACAGTGTCACGGGTGATAATTTTGAGGATAAAACCAAATCAGGTCCTCTCCAGATGATAAAGCATTTATGTTTCTTTTTGCTTTGCTTTTGGGAAGAAAAGGAGGGTTGTGAATGCTGGTCTTTGGGAAGCCAGAAAAGATCCCAGTGGCTGCAAACTAAAAAGTGTGATTTTTCTATAGCAGGTTATTTGGCACAGTTTGAGAGGTACTTTTA